CTGACGACTCGTCTCACTCCCAAAAAGCTTGTGCCCATTGATCGTGCATACGCGTGTGATGATGTGTCGCCTCCATATTCCGGGGTGAAAGAGATGGTGTTTCCGAATGGTGATTTGGACGACATGACAGGAGGAAGTCTTGTGGGGTACTCCTCTTTCTCATCAGGATCTGATCCGATTCTTTGAGCATCAGCTCAAGATGAAGATTAGAACTGATAGAAAATGATTGCATTCGACAGTCTTCAGCGAAAGGTAGGTGAAAGAGGCGAGCTTGGTTCATTTGAACAGGGCTAGCCTTGATTTTCTCTTTTAGGTCAGGCCTATGTCACACCAGGGTGGTTTCCTGTGGAGCCCTCCCCTTGTGTACCTAGTTAATGTGAGTAAATGTTGTTCCCGACCTGTTCCTGGCCATTTTTTGGTTATGATCCAGCCTGAGATTTCCAACCTCCCCAGTTTGTTTTTGACCCCCTTTTTTTTTATCTCAACTGGGTCAGCTTTATATTTTCCCATGCCCATATGTTTTTTATCCTTTTCCCACACCCTTAGTGAGAGAACTTCTTTTTGTCTCATGGGCAGAATACAGGGGCCTCTCTGTTTTGGGGATTGGACGGGCCCTACTAACATCAGTTATGTTTAGTTTAATTTGATTTGTGTTTATATTTTTAGTTTGTTATTGGGTTCATCTCCCTCCCCTCTCATTTTTTCATCATAGATTTTTATATATATTTTAGCATCATGAAATTTTTATGCCACAGGGTGCGTTTTGTAGGTCTCCCTAATAAAAATGAGCTATTGTGGTGTATGGAGAATTGATTGGTGACGGACGAGTTCTTGTTGTGAATGGGGAAATTGTAATGAATGAATGGGTCATGAATAAGATAGTTAGTGATGATCAGCCTCAACCCCTCCCCATTTTGGCCTTGTGCCATAATTGTGTATTTTGAACAATAAATAAATAGCAGAAGCACCAGACCAGATGTGGCAGTAACATTTGATACATGAATGAATAGTAAACTTATAAATGTACAAAATAGATTCTGGCAAGAAAGATTGTCTTGCACAACATAGTGAACTGACTTCCCTACCAATAGACTTAGCAATTGATTCAATATAATTGTTTCACTTCATATCAGTAGAAAAACATTTGACCAAGAAGATGCAATGAGTTACTCTACTGCCATCAGCCATGTTGATGGAAAGTAAAAAAGTTTTCTAAGATTACTAAAAAAAGAGAAGTTTAGTTTTGGAGTTATTAAAATTTATAATTCACTCACTTATAACTCACCCAGTAATACAGTTTCATTCTCTTAATCATCAGGATATCCTGCTACTTCCAAATAGATTGCTTTCATTCCATTCCCTGTCATAGAAAATTTGCATGTATGCTTTTTTTCTTTTTTAGTTTTATTGAATTGGAGATTTTTCTTCTATTTTAATTTTCAATCCCTGGTTCCCATTGTGTTAGTAGAAATTTACTTTCATGTCCACAGTTAGCCATTGTTTCTGATCTTTTGTTTAGCAAGTTCTCAGGATCTTTTAACATGACTATGGCTATCTTTTCCTCCAAACACAACCTGCAACTTTTAATCCTTTTCTATAACTTAGTCTTCTTAAATATGTTCAATTTGATTATAGTAGTTATATGGTTTTTAAGGCTTCCCATAGATATCTTGATAATGTGGTACTGTTTTCATATTTGGCTCTCTCCATTGATATTTTATAATTATAATATCTTTGTTTTAAAAGGTCTCTATGTTAATCTAATGTACACTTTTTTATTGACAGCCCTTATATATATATATATATATATATATATATATATATATATATATATATATATATTACTACTATTACTACTAGCATTACAAGGCTCTTCCTCTTCCTTGAATTGAGCTCTCTCAGTCATTGGTGTATTTATTCACAGAATAAATATGAAAATTTGCCTTTCTTTCAACAGTGCACCAATGACTTGAGGGAAAATCTCCAACTGTTGCCAAATCAGTCAGGTTTTGAAGCAATCGGATGCCTAACCACATTGATGAGCTGTGATACATTGAAACAGCCTGTCTGTGGATGACAACATATATATATATATATATATATATATATATATATATATATATTAACAGTATTTCTCACTTGAAAAACCTCGAATGACTCAACTTGTAGACACCTGAGGTCAAATTGGTACCCGAGGAAAAAATAGGGAGTAAAAAAAGAAAGAACTAAAAACATCAGAACAAGGCGAAAAAAAATCAAGTGTCTTAAGTCCTTAGTCCCCCAAAAAAACCCAAGCAAGTATAAAGATAACGAAAATGTAGAGGGCTCAATATGCTAAGTAGAGCGGTAAATAGAATAAATCCTAATGTGCCAGGGAAACATATTTAGGTTTCACCTAAATGGATCTTCAGGGTAGACTGGCTACCCTGAATATCCATTTAGGTGAAACCTATGTAGGATTTATTCTATATATATATATATATATGTGTGTGTGTGTGTGTGTGTGTGTTCATAGTAATTCAGTGAGTCTAGAAGAAACCTCAATTGTGTTGTATCGTAACTCTCCAGGTTCAATTCTCAGTAGTGGATGCGAAATGCTGAGGCCTCCCAAATAGGATGAAACAGCTATCCAGTGCTTTCTGCATTCGAGATTTTTTACGTATATTTTATAAAATATTTCCCAAATTATGAATGCTTTCATTGCCTTCATCACTTGTGACAAATTTCCTTTCATCACTCTCCAGTTCACTATCAAAATACAAAGAACCACTTTAAATAAATTTCTCTTGAGATATGTTGTCAACGAATCTTAAGTGGTTAACACAAATGATGACAGTAGCTCTGAACAACTTGTGGCTTGTTGGTAATCAATATTTGATAAACAAACAAGAGTCAAGAATACTTATGATAATATTTTGCTATTTACATATATCTTGGCTTTGTCAGTCTATCCACTCAATACAAAATCATTTTAACTTATTCATTTTGTTATATTTATTTCTGTTTATTGGTTTTCTTATTTAATTTATATGCATACTCATAGAAAAATACTTTTTCACTTACAAATCTTCAACAAATATTAATTATATATAAGCATCATTGTACAACTAATATATTCATCCTGGTTGGTTTTATGGCTGATGTGTTCTTTGGCCTTTCTATGGAAAAAGAGGTTCTTACTATTGATACTAGTGAATGAATTATACACCTAAGTAAAGCCAAAGAATTCAGTGACCAAAACATAGTGATAAAACTAATAAAAAAAAATTATTAATTAGATAGAATTGATAGGAACATCTTTTTGACTAGATAGATTATGTGTGGGTGCAGGATGCATCACCAAAAATCAAGATGATCAGAGCTTGGCATCCAGTCTCTCATCTAACAGTCCAATGGGAGAAAAGCTGGCTTGTAACTTTTCATCATCACTGAGCTGACCCTAAATTCCCACCAGCCACAATGAATTGTTGCACTTTCAGTGAGGCGACTCTTGGGAATCAAGTTCCCCCCCAGACCTCAAGTGGAACTCATTTATATACTCATTGCTAAAAATGCTGGAAAAATGGTCAACTCTTTATACCATTACAAAAAGTACCTGAATCCACCTGCTATATTCTCTCTTTACAAGAATCAGATCAAACCAAAATTGGAATATTACTGTCATTTAGTAAACCTCTACCTTTAGTGGTTCTTGGGCCTTGAATTAGGTGAACATTTATTAAAAATAAACCTATAGAAAAGACTTATGATTGATGTGAGGGTCATTCAAAAAGTTCTAAGCCTCATCCAGAAGGAGTTGGAGAAACAAAACAGTTTTTCACTACTTTTCAATATTGTCCCTATTGACATCAATGCACTTGGTTCAGTGATGCTTAAGCATTGCAATATCATCATGGAAGAAGGTGGTGTCCTGGTCCTCCAAAATCTCACCCACAGCGCATATAACTTCATCATTGTTTCCAAAATGGCAATCATGCAAGGAAACAGGAAGAAGTCAGATGAAGCTAAGTCTGGCGAGTAAAGGGGATGGGGTAGCAATTCAAAGCCACAGTTGGCTGCTTCAGCTACCACAGCCTGAGCAGTGTGAATGGGCACATTATCCTAGAGCAAGAGCACATCCCTCTGCATTTTGATTTAATTGCTTCCTTCAGGTGTCTTAATTCTGATGCATAGTATTGTCCATTAATAGATTTTTCCATTTTTCAGGTAGTCTATCATGATTACACTTTCAGAATCCAAAAAAGCAGAAGCCATCACCTTGCCAACAAATGATTTCTGCTTGAACTTCTTCAGGGGTGAAGAACCAGTGTTTCCACTATTTACTTTGAATCTTTGATTCAGGTTTGAAGCGGTGAACCCAGGTTTCATCTTGAGTTACTAATCTATGATGTAAATTCTTGGGGTCAGCCTGAAAGTTAGTCAGAAGTGTTCTTTTCAGCTTCTGCTCTGGTGCCAACATTCTTGGGTGTTATATTGCAGACAACTTGCTCATCCCCAAGATCTCAGTTAAAACAGTATAGACTAAACCGGAACTAATGGCTATGGACTAAGCTATTCACTGGACAGTAAGACGTCTGTCATCCAAAACCATATGGCGAATGTCATCAACTTGTTCATCAGTGGTTGAGGTTTTTGGACGCCCTGACCTAGGGCCATCTTCTGTGCTGTCCTTGACCCACTTAAATTCCTCAGCCCACTTCTTCACAGTTGCATAGGAAGGAGATTCCTCAGCAAGTGTCTGTGCCATGCCCTCATGAATTTCCTTAGCTCTCATGCCTTTCTTTTACAGATACTTTGTAACTGCTAGGGCCTCTTTTTTGTTCATTTTTAGAATTGTTGTACACTTCTTACCTTTATATGGTCCCAAGCTTCTCAGAAATTAAAACAGAAATCTGAAGTAAATTTTTCTAGTTTTTTAAGAAATGGTAGTGTGTTGCTACAACAAAAATGTTCAGCTAGGATTCTTCTTTCTGGGTGAGGCTTAGAACTTTTTGAATGACCCTTGTAGGAACATCTGGCTAGATAGATAGATAAATATGAACAGACTGAGATAGATAGATAGATAGATAGATAGATAGATAGATAGATAGATAGATAGATAGATATTCATTCATAAAGGGAGAAAAATAGCAGGATATCATAAGCCTTACTCCCAAATGAATGATGTTTCCTTATTGTAACCTCTTTTATTTTATTAAAGGCAAATTAAATAATTGTATAAATGCATAACAGATCAGAACTTGGGTCCTATGATATTTTATATAATCAGATATAAAAGTCTAATTGCATCAAATATCATGAGAATCTAGATATTTATGCTTGTGTATCTTCTAAGAATTGTTACATTTCTCTTTGCTTTTTTCACTGTCTGTTTGACAAAACATCTCCAAAATTAAAAGCTAGATTATAAGAAACTTCATTGCAGATAATGATTATCTAACAAGAATCTTACAGTTGAAATAGCTAGATGTAACCATAAGTTCTATGCTAACAGTTTCTTCTCTCACACTTCTTGCTTTCCAATCAACTTTGATCTTCAAAAATTTAAATACAATGCCAATTGTTATCTTTTGTCTACGTAATTTTTGTTCTTTTATTGTTCTAATAATAGTGTTTTTGTTTTCTCATATTATCCTCTAAACCTCAGTAACCCCTTGTATCTTAGTGGCTTTATTGCCTTGCTTGTGGTGGAATTAATAAAAAAAGAAAGAATAAATTTTAATTTCTGCTTGACTTTTCTAATAATATATATTATTTATTTTATTTCTACTAGCATCATAGAGTTGCTATGAAACCATAACCCTGTCCTTTTTAATTCAATTGCTAATTATTGTCTATAACTTAGAGATGAATCCTTTACATATTCAATAATGTTTGTATGCTCAAATCTCTTCTTTGTTATTGTTGCTGTGGTTAGTAGAATATGTTGGGTAATCCATATTTCAATCCTCAGCAAGCATAATCCATGAAATAAAGGAAACCTTGACACCAGAAAATCTGGAAACATAAATATATCTTATTTCTGGAGTTATAGGTTTTCTTTTTCTTACAGATTACACCTGATGAAGGCTGAAGAATGAATCAGCTGAAATGTGTTAGCAACAGCAAATATACATAGAAAAGATTTGTGCATCTGAACAATATTTGATATATGGTACTTATTATACTAGTTGTACTCATGGAAATTCTGCAAATACTGACAATATCTATTATCTCATGTCTCTGATCCTCTCACTCATTTTATCATTTCATTCTCTCCCTTATCCCTTCCAATTATCATTGTCCAGCCATCTTTTTATCTAAATGTTATACAAACATGGATCCATTTCATATAAAAAAGAGGAATATAGAATGTATTACAAATATTTTCTGCTGCATCATCTCTTTTATCTTTTTTTATTCTATCTCTTCATAATGAAATTTAATACAACATTATTTTTATGACTTTGTATCTCTGTCTTTACGATGTTTGCACATTGTATCTTGATATCCAGCCAGTAAGTTTCTCTCTCTCTCTCTCTTTTTCATCTCCATCCCTGTCCTTCTATTTATGTGTATATATGATTATTTTTTCCTTTCACCTGGTTTTCTTTTTGTTTTCCTGTAGCTTTCTTAGCTCTTACTTTCCCTCTTTCACACCCTACATAATAAATGGGAAACCACTGATTATGTAGGTTCTTAGTGAGAAAGTATAATGACTCCAGCTCAAAAGGGCTGGCAATTGGGCAGATACTACACTCTGCTCCAAGGTAGAAACATAGTAATCATGCATAGAAACAAGCAGAATAATAATACAGATGTTTAGGTACATTTATTTAAGCTGAATATAAAGACAACAGTAACACTTAAAATCCTATGAAATTTATTCTTGAAAGCAAAAAGGATCTTAATGAATCCCTATTATCAACAGAAAAATAAAGAGCTAAATACATGCTTTAGTCTGAGGAATTTTAATACTGCTCTCAGTATAATAAATTAACATAAAAGAATTCAATAAATTCTCTTTACAATATGGTATAATAAAAGTACCAAACAAAATAAACCTCCAATCCATTACATGAAAATAGTTGCTAAGCAAATACAATTTCATACACATGTTACGAGTAAAGCCTTCATCAGATGATGACCCTGGCATAAAGTATCATTACAATTAACACAGGACACCCCAGCAGTACCTTATAACTTTGATGCAGTATTTGTGATGGTTAAGTTTGGCTCAATGGAAGTGGTGATATACTTCTTGATGGGGGATTCATTCTAGAGATCAAAACAAGACCATTCCATATTGTGTTATAATTTCTTAAACAATGAAGTCTCTTAGCTCTGGCTACACAGGTTATCATCTATTGATAGACTTTGTTTGTGGTGTAGCTGTTTTCACCACAGATGTGTATGGACTTCTGGAAGAGTTTAGGTGATAATAAAAAAGAATAACAGTTTGGAAAGACTTCTTTTTTTTTTCTCCTCCATGACCAGTTGCCAAGGCTAGAGGGCTCTATCTGCCTTGCTCTTTAACATAGCTTTGGCAAAAAGAAACAGATTCATGCCATTTCAAGGACATCTGTTCAAAAGTGAACACAACAGATAAGCTCAGAATTTGATCTCTGCTTGCCAATTCCACCTTTCACAATGATATCTCTTACACATGATATCTAACAACAGATTCATGAAAGCATTAGCATGTCACAAATGGAAACTGTACTTATGACGTCTTGAGAGTGAAGGGAGAATGACATACAAACAAAAAAATAATGTTTCTTAGGATTTCTTTTAAAACACAACAAGATTGCTTAAATTTCAAACAACAGTTTTATTTCTGGTGTAGGGATGCAAATGATGATTAATTCCCTTAAGTTAAGAGAAAGTCACAAGGGTCACATGACAGCCAGTAAATAATGTGAATTTATAGATGAAAAAAGCAGACCATACAAGTTGCTGATGATAGACCACTAGACCATTTAGATGCTAGATGTCATCTCAAACCCACAGTGATAGGGAGAACAGAATAGTGTATGTGGTACCTCAAAGTTTGTAAAAGATACCACTGGCCTAGAATTTTTCCCTTTGAGAAACATTACTAGTTAGATACTCTGTTTGTTTTATTCATATGTTATATTTGTGTGAAAAAAATTAATGACAAGTATTTATATATTTGAATATAACTTACTGTATGACATAGTGGTATATAAAATCACTTTGAAAAAATTAATGTTTGTCATTCCTTTTTTTCAATTATTCTGTTCAGTCTGTATATTAAGATATTACTATATCACAGATAGAATAATGCCCATAATGGGAAAATGTAAACTGGAAATATTCTTTCTTGCCTAGCATCCACTCTAATGGTATCCACATATGGGGTTTATGAGTTCAATGAAAGAGTTAATGTCTCACAGAATTTTGAAGCAACCACTTCTGTAGTCATCTAGTGGATGATCGAATCTAGAAGAGAGAAGGAGGAAATTGTGTCACCTTTAAATTCACTAATAGGGATTGTGAATTTGTGTTCATTATAAGTCTCCATACACAGAAACAGAATTCATTCAGAAATTTGTCATGTGACTCATAGAACTTAAGCTTTCTCTCTTTATCCATAGGCTTACAGTCATATCATGTTGAAACACCAGTTCCTGTAAGAGCACCAAAGTTAAGAATCATCAAGCTGAGTCAGTACCTAGATGGGTGACTGCTTGAGAACACCTATTAGAATTTAATTTGAAAACTACTACTACAATGTTTTACAAGTTCACATTCTAGCCTTTTTTCTCATCTTTGCCCCAAGTTTTTCCCCTGCTTTAAAATCCTGCTCCCAAAGCCTTGATCCTTATCAGAGATAAGAATATATTTTCTGACAAATGAGAAAACTGGAAAATATAAAAAGGAATTTGACCACCTTATCATGGTGTCATAAAATCTGGGGGTAACACTTACAACTTGTTGGACCCTTGCTTCCAGAAAGCATCTCCCAAAACCTTGATTCTTATCACAGATAAGAATATATTTTCTGAAGAATGAGAGGGCCAGTAAAGTGCATTGCAATTTTGGAGGGAAAAGGTCCCGATATTTCTGAGCTTTCCAATCTCCATAAATACAGAGAATATACACTTCTTTGGCAATGAATACTTGACACTGTCTGTGATAACATCAGGTCAGTGATAGAACACCAGTCATCTTTGGAACCTGTTTCAAGAAAGAAATCTTCCTGCTTGGCTGTAAAGATAGAATGTCAGCCCACTACTAAAAACTAATTGAGATCTGCTCCTTGCAACTAGAAATTTCTGTCATCAACCTACAAACTCACTGAGCTACAAAATTTGGACCTTCCAACAGTTTCCTCCTCAACAAGAGTTCTGACAAAATCTATGTGAGTGTTAACCCTTAAGAATGATTTACAAACTTAAAGAACTTTTAGGCGCTCAGAGAAATATTTTGAGCAAGCCTTTTTTTGAACATTTTTTCTTTCTTTAAGTTAAACAAATTTTCTTCTCTTTTTCTCTCATATTTGTGTACTTTTGTGTGTGTGTGTGGAAATAAACACTTTCTTCTTCTATTGTTATACCCCGGCAGGAGTTTGAGTTTTTAGTCTTCCTCCTAAAAGAGAGAATTGTCCACTCTAATCTTTCAAGCCATTGTTGCTTTTATTGATTCTGTTGCATTTAATCATAACCTTTTCATGTGGGAAAACCTTAACCATTATTATCTCCTCCAAAAAATTCTTACAATCTAAAATATTTTCTGGTTTTAAATAACCTGCAAAGGGTTGATAAGCCGTAGAAAATGAATCAATCAATCTTTATCCATAATTTCAGCTCACTTTTGTTTTCAAAGAAATATTGCCTTTTATAGGCTAACAAAAATTATTTCTTTTCCCATAAGTTTGATTGTTACTCTGGTGCATTGACAACAAAGATCTTTGCATATTTCAGATGTTAATTTGACAAAGATTTCACAATACAACTGTACCTCACTAACCCAGCACTCTGTGGAATACTTTGAAATTGCTGCCATTAGTTGTCAAACCTGGGATTCCCAAAGTAAGTCATATCACACCCTTGTGGATAGTAAAAAGATCCAGGGGTTTAGTGAGGAAAACGGAGATGGTTAATTAAA